TACACACGCTGATGGCAAGGCCTTGAACGTCTGCAGGCGAGTTGGCCTGCAAGTCGACGTTCTTTCGGAGAGTCTCGGGTGATGGAGTGTAGCTTGCTTGGTAGCACCCAAGCAGAAGCTCCGAGATCTATTTAAGATGAAGACGAATCCGGTTCTTCCTCTCCATCTGCAAGAATTCCAACATATTCAGTCTTTGAATACTTTCTCCAAACAATCAGAATGCCTGTCACCGTCACCAAGTACAAGGCCGCCGCGGTAAGGAAATATTTCCGATACAACTTACACGGATCTAACAATCTTAAAGGTCACCTCCGAGCCTTGCTGGTTCGACCTTGAGGCCGGTGTCCAGAAGACCATCAACTTCATCAATGAAGCTGGTCAAGCTGGATGCAGGTTAGTCGCCTTTCCCGAAGTTTGTAAGTTCTCCTCGTTGATATTTGGCCATCTCTAACTGTTTAGGGATGCCCGGCTACCCTTACTGGATGTGGAAGGTCACCTACCAGCAGTCTCTTCCCATGCTCAAGAAGTACCGCGAGAACAGCTTGGCTGTCGACTCTGAGGAGATGAGGCGCATCCGCCGCGCTGCCAGGGACAATTCCATGTACGCACCATTCCTCCTTTGTAGCTTGCAAAACTAATGGCGAATAGCTATGTCTCGATGGGTTTCTCCGAGATTGACCATGCCACCCTTTACCTCGCCCAGGTTCTCATCTCTCCCACTGGTGAGGTCCTCAACCACCGCCGCAAGATCAAGCCCACCCACGTTGAGAAGCTCGTCTACGGTGATGGCTCTGGTGACACTTTCAAGTCCGTCACCGAGACCGAAATTGGACGTCTCGGTCAGCTCAACTGCTGGGAGAACATGAACCCCTTCCTCAAGTCGATGAACGTGGCCGAGGGCGAGCAGATCCAGTAAGCAGTTTGCCTACTTTTCAGCTGCTAGACACTGACATTCCACAGCATTGCTGCTTGGCCCATCTACCCTGGCAAGGAGACCTTGAAATACCCCGACCCCGCCACCAACGTTGCCGACCCGGCTTCTGACCTTGTCACCCCTGCCTACGCCATTGAGACTGGTACCTGGACTCTTGCTCCCTTCCAGCGTCTCTCTGTTGAGGGTCTCAAGAAGAACACTCCCGAGGGCGTCGAGCCCGAGACTGACCCCTCGACCTACAACGGCCACGCCCGTATCTACAAGCCTGACGGCACGCTAGTCGCCAAGCCTGACAAGGACTTTGACGGGCTGATGTTTGTCGACGTAAGCAGTCATCAAGGAAGCCTAGAAAGTTGCCAAAACTAACATCTCTTAGATTGACCTCAACGAGAGCCACCTCACCAAGGCGCTTGCTGACTTTGGCGGTCACTACATGCGCCCTGACCTGATCAGGCTGCTCCTCGACACACGCCGTAAGGAGCTCATCACCGAGGCCGACCCTGACGGCAGCCTTGCCACCTACTCGACCCGCAAGCGCCTGAACCTGGACCTTCCGCTTGACCCCCCCAAGCCCAAGGATGGCGGCGCTGTCGGTGTCGCAAAGCAGAGCGAGGCCGCCAAGCAGCCCCAGGAGTACGGTGGCAAGCTCTAGACGATTTTTCTTTTGTTCCAAATTGTTTACGAATTGTTGAAAAGTCATACGATCGGCTTTAGCCGCACGTGGCAAGGCCTTGCAGACGGGCTGATGTTGTTACACTGTACATATTACTTGATTCATATTTCTCCTCTCTCTCTCTCTCTCTCTCTCTCTCGCGCGCGCGCGCGCTTGGTATTCTTTTCTGCCATGTGTTTTACTGCTGAGAACGGACAAAGACTGACACTTATCGAGCGGGTACGATCAAAGCTATGCTGACATGAAGAGCCGAAGTCCACAGGTCTGATCACTCTACACCATCGCCACCAGACATTTGGGCGAACCAGGCACACCAATCAAACAAACCAAGTATGACCGCCTCGCCTTGGCCTTCTTTCTGTCCCAAACAACCAAGCTTCTTCGAAGCTTCGACGCACGCATGTCTCAGCTCGAGGGGAATAAAACAACTGCCCCTGTCTCACATCACGAGCCCCCGAGAGCAGCCGCTTCATCATACACCATTCCAGAAGGGTGCACGCAGGTACCCCGCGCTCGCCTCGTGGCTGCACGGCAGCGGCGCACGCGCCGTCGTGGGCGCTCAGGCACGCCGCCGCGGGACCGCCATGTGCGTCGAACATATCAACGGCTGAGGAAAAAGCAACGGCATCTGCGAGGCCAACAGCATACGACGGTATACGACGAGAAGGGGTGGAAGGGACGTCGACTTCAACTTTGCTGGAGGCTGGCCTGTCGTCTTGCGGTCGTTCGCGGTAAGCTGCTAAAGAATAATGACTTCTGATGATACGATCTCTCACCGACGTTGGCTCTGGATACATCCCTTTTTGCACGTCGCTTACCCTAATGCCTACTACTGCATCATGACTCGGTCAGCGCCGCAACGGTCTCGTTTAGGTGCCAAAAAGGCCCCGCGCGGATCGTCGCCAGCGAAGAAAGCGCTGCAGGATTGCGGCGCAGAGACTACCTGCCTTGTGCGACCAATTGAATCCACACGTTTCTTACTTGAAAATGTCTCTCAGCATGGCGGTGTGGTGTTAAGTATGTAGTACGGAGCGATCTGCGGCCGTGTTTTCGGCCAGAAGGATGGCTTTGGGCTTGTTTGCTGCCGGGGCTGATGGTCTCTGCTCGTTTACGAGAGAGCGTGAGGATGAGTATAAGAGGGATGGAATGGAGAGAGTGGAGGCAGAACAGCAGCATCGGCAGCAGCTTCTTCTTCCTCTTCTCCTTTTCCCGCTGACTTGGGCCCAGTCGTTCCGTCTCGTCTTTGATTCACTCGTTTGCGCGCTCTGAGAGCTGCTCCAGTCTTTACTCGCCAGTCGTCACTTTTTCGAGGAAGATTTTACACGCTCTCGTCAACTTATCAACCATGAAGACCGTCGCACTTTCCGCCGCCCTCTATGCGGCTCTTTCTGTCGCCGCACCCGTCCCGGCCGCTGCTGCTGGCGACTGCAAAAGCTTCGTCCTGCTCTTCGCTCGCGGAACGACGGAGATGGGGACTATGGGATCGGTCGTCGGACCATCGCTGTCTACCAAGGTCAAGTCGGCGTTGGGAGAGAACAACGTCAACGTCGAGGTAAAGAAAATCCTCTCGAAACGGAGCAATCCAGAATCTAAAATCTCAATCCAGGGAGTCAACTACGCCGCCGACGCAGGTGGCATCATGACCGAGAGCATGGGCACCGGTGGCGCGGGCACGACGGCCATGACGAACCAGGCCAACTCGTGGCTGACCAAGTGCCCGGACACGAAGCTCATCCTGACGGGCTACAGCCAGGGCGCCATGCTAGTGCACCACACGACGACCAAGCTGGGCAGCAAGGCGTCAAAGGTGGCGGCTGCCGTCACGTTTGGTGATCCGTTCAAGGCCCAGAAACTCGACGGCGTCGACCCGTCCAAGTTTAAGACGTACTGCGCCTCTGTAAGCATATTTCCTGATTCTCATCCACTCTTGCAAGCGGCTGGTCTGATCGTTCTAGGGCGACTCCGTCTGCGGCCTGGGTTCCGGCAGCGGCGGCACTGGCGGCACCGCGTCCCAGAGCGCCTCAGGCCACTTGGGATACGGCGCTGACACGACGTCGGCCGCCAACTTCATCAAGTCGGCCGTCGGATCGAGCTCCCAGCGCCAGCTCACCGGCACCTCGACCACGGACGGCGGCCTCGGCGGCCTCATCCCGTCGTCCGGCTCCAGCCTGGGCAGCGGCACATCGTCCGGATTCGGTGGTCTGGAAAGCCTGATCCCGTCTGGCGGCAGCGGCACCGGCATGTCGTCTGGACTCGGCAGTCTGTCGAGCGGTTCGGGCAGTTTGGGTGGCTTTGGCTCCAACGTGGGCGCCTCCGCCCTCGCGGCGCGCGATGCGCAACTCGGCGGCGGTCTCAGCGGCGGCAGTCTCCCAAGCGACCTGCCCAGTCTAGACAGCGGGACGGGCAGTGGCAGCGGACTCGGCAGCGGCAGTCTCCCCAGCGGCCTGCCGACGGGTCTGGGGTCCGGCACGGGCAGTAGTCTGGGCGGACTCGCCAGCGGCCTGCCATCGCTGGACGGCTCATCCTCCTCCTCCTCCTCCTCGTCCGGCACATCGACCCTCGAGGCACGCGCGCCGCAGTTCGACCTGGGCTCGCTGACCGGCGGCACGGGCACTGGCAGCAGCTTCGGCGGCCTGTCGACGCCGAGCTTTGGCTCCCTTGGCGGCGGCAGCACTGGCAGCGGTACTTCGCCGTTTGGCAGTCTGAGCAGCCTTGGTAGCGGCAGCTTGGGGAGCGGAAGCTTGGGGAGCTTGGGTTCTTCGAGCGGCCTTGGCTCCAGTGGGTTGAGCAGTGGGCTCTGATTGCTTTGATGGCGCCGGTTCATGGAAAGGCCTCGGTGGAGTGGTCTCGCCGGTCGAGCGTGGGTTGATGGGTGTAGACGTACATATGGTGGATGCTGTTGTGCTCGATACACGTGGTTATGGGCGATGGTAGCGTTCGCGGCTCTCTTTCGTATACTCATTGGCAGCCTGTATAATTTCCTTGTAGTTTTAGGCAATTGATCGCGTTGCTGCCGCCAGCCGTACTCGGACGTGATGAAGTCATTCTTGATGAAGTTTTCGAGCGAAGGAGGGAGAAAACGATGGCTGGCGCGTATTTTGGAGTCATTGACGGCCTTCTTGAACTTAAGATTGATGAAAATACAGCGCCCACGAGCATGATGCCAAAGGTGCATCACCAAAACACAAGGAGCAAAAAGACAGCGACATCTCAACAGCTTAACGCTCTGTCCAACCTCAAGCGCCCTGCCGCCACGCCCCGCTCGATCCCGCTCCGTCCCGCTCCGCCCCTACCCCCCAACAGCCCGAGCGCCACCGCAAAACTCTTCACCCCCACAAAAAACGCCCCATCCTCTCTCTTCCCACACTCAAAAAGTGCAAAAAAAGAAGATGTTGACTGCTGTGTGACTCGAACACACGAAGGGAAACCCAACTAGTAATTGCTGATTTCCGCCTTTCTTCGGAACTCTGTTCAGATGTCCTGAAACTAGCGCCATAACCACTCGGCCAAGCAGCCATTGTTGAAAGCAAATTTACACACTAAATATATAATCATGGTAAAATGGGTTAGGTAGAGGGTTAATTGATTTATTAATTGATTAATTGATTAATTAATTATTTTACGTCTTACTAGAGCTATAGGCTATCTAAGACGGAGCTATCTATAGGGGATACTACGTACGTTTATAAGGTAAGTAGGGGTACCTAGCTAAAGAATCTTATATAATAAAGTATAATTCTTAGTATAATGTTAGTATAGGGTTATTATAGATAGATAGTTTATCTAGGCTCTTTTTAGGTAAGGGGGGGCTAAGAACTAGCCTTCCTACTATTATCTAAGTAGATAGGTAGCATAAAGTAAGAGTAAGAAAAGGAAGGGGGATAGGAAGAAGGTATATATAGAAAAGTAAATATAGTATAGGGTAGTAGGTAAGGTAGATTATATATATACTCTACTATAGCGTTCTAATACTATTCCTAATAGTACTATTTTTTAGTTAGTATTATATAATACCTTTCTTAGCACCTATAAAGGTAAAAAAGGCGGGTAAGGTTTTTAACTAGTAGTATATATCTTCTAGCTAACTAGTATAGTTAGCTAATACTTATTATAGAAAATAAATAACACTAAAGAACCCGGGTTTAATCTATATTAATGTTACTTATAATTTAATCTAGCCCTATTACCGCTATTAGATGACTATATATTAATATTATTACTAATAATAGAGCTCTATATGCCGTCCTAGCCTAGGTATACTATATAGATGAATAGCGTTAAGCCCTTACCTTACTACTAAATAGTTATCTAATTATTATTAGGAGTAGGAGGATTTAGCTAGAGTAGTTATAGAGTAGTCATCTAAGCTATATTAATGCCTTCCTAATCTAGAGGGCTAGGGTCTTAGTAGAGGCTCTATATAAGGTAGAGGAGGGGTATAAGCCTAGAGGGTATTAGGTAGATTATAGATAAAGGGGTCCTTTCCTTAATTATCTTTAGTTAGAGGGGTTCTAGGGTAGTACCTACGGGAACTATAAGTAGAGGGATCATAGAGCTTATTATTCACTCTACTAGTAGAGATTAGAATGGATTCTCTCTTCTTCTTTTTACTCTTCTTTTTTTTCCCTTAGTCTACTATTTACATATACTATGCCCTAGTAGAAACCTTCATCTAATATATGAATTTAAGTATAAATTATTAACTAACGTCTCCTTAGAAAAGCTCTCTATAGGGTATAGAGGCTATTTTCCTACTATTATTATTATACGCCTTACGTGCTTCCTATATAGCTTCTCTCCTAGTAGAGCTATAGAGTAGGTAGTTACTAATAAGGTGTTATAGTATTTATTAGGTGGTATTATTATAGCTATAATTATCCTATTCTATCTTACTAAACTGTACTAGGTAGGTTCTAAAGTAGCCGTAGTTTAGTTTTAATTAGAAGTAGGCTAATACTTCTAGTTATCTACTCTTAGGGAGTTAGATAGACGTCCTTAGTATAGATAGGAAGTTATGTATGTATAACCCCTAGGATAGTATAATCTATGCTTCCTAGTATTATATAGTATATATTATCTATTCTACTATAGTTCTTTATTATACGCACATCCTAAGGAGGGTAGTACTTAAGTAGTTATTCTCTAGGGTTAGCCTAGCAGCCTCCTTTATAAGGGCGTCTACTTATAGGTTTCCTCTAATCCCTATATAGCCTAGGGCCTATAAGAAGGTAAGACTACCTTATCTAGCCATAATTAAGTGGCCTATATCTATAGCTTAAAGTTATAGACCTTAACCTAGTAGGTTAGACGGGGTTTAGAGGCGGTATAGTATAGCTTAGTTATCTATGTATACTATAATCTATTACCTAGGCTATTTCTAGGTAGCTAGCTCTATAGCCCTTATAAGTGCCTCTAGTTCTCTATTATATATGAGCTAGTATAGTCTAGTATTTACTCTATATCTTACTACTACTCTTATACTATCTTATTAGGTATTATACACTATAATCCCTATACCTACTCTATTTCCTTTTAGGATAGATAAAGCGTTAGAGTATAGGATAACTACTTAAGTCATATATCCTATATATCTAATATATGCTTAGGCTTCTTATTCCTTTTAGAGGTAGCTAATCTTAACTTCATACAGCGTAGTCTTTTTCTATAGGGGAAAGGAACCATGCTTAATTAGGCTTTTAGTACCTATTACTAGGTCTAAAATTATATTCTAGATATGTTTAAGTTATATCTAGCATCCTAGTATGCTCTCTAGTTTAAACTTATTAATAATTATACGTACTAGGTATTAGTAACTAAGTTTAAAGAGTCTTATAGCGTACGCTTAAAGTGACATGTTCCTCCTAAGGTAGGGGGGGAGAAGGCCTACTTTAATTTCTATAGGAATAATTAGGGAGGTGTAAAAGGCTCCTAGGATTTAGTATAGTCTACTATTTTAAAGTATTCATCTAAGTATCTTAGATCTACTAATTTACTAGAAAATTAGGGACCTATAATCTACTACACTTTATATATAAGTAAGGTATAGTTATTAGATAGTAGCTAGGGATAGTCTATATTATATATTAGCTAGCCTTATAAGTCTTCTAAGTAATTACTTTACTTAGGCATTCTAAATTATTATATACTACTAGAATGATAGGCGTATGTTAAACTATATCCTAAGCTATTAGATAAGCTACTTTAGCTATACTATATAATCTCCTAGGAGTATAATTATGGCTTCCTTAGCCTTATCTAAGCTTATAAAATAGATAAGGTCTATTTTATCTTTATTAAAATTAACGGTATACTAGGTTCTAAGTAAGAAAAGCTAGGTTACTTCCTACTAGAGGATCCGCGCATTTTTCTTCTAGCTAGTTAAGGAGATTATGATTAAAACGTCATTAATATATAAGAGGAATCATACTAAGTAAGAGGAAAAGAGTTTTCGTATATAAATAAGAAATAGGATTAGTAAGACTAGGCTGCCTTAGGGGATTCCTAAAGCTATTAGATAAAGGTCCTCTTATTAGCTATTAAAGGAGATCTAGAGTTATTAACCGCTAGTAAATATCTTTACCTATACTAGGAGGGAAGTAGGGAGCCTAATTTCCCCTATTATATATAAGAGTTAGTTATAGGCTACATAATTAAAGGCGCCTTATATATTAAGGAATAGGGTTAATATCTTACACCGTGCCCTCCTCTCATCTTAGATAATATATGTAAGGATTATTACTATATTAATTACTAACTTCTATAGTCGTCCGCCTATTTAGGATAGGTATAGGAGGTAGGTAGCTTCTATAAGTACTCTAAGACGTTTTACTATAATGCGTTTAAGGACTTTTCCTAGGTAGTTAAGTAGGGAGATAACTCTATATACTTTTAGGTCTATATAATTAGGTTTCCCTAGCTTCTTAAGTATTATACCTACTACTTCTCTCTAGCATTCTAGGTGATATCCGTATATAAAGAGGGTTTAGTATACCTAGGTAAATTTTTCGGGAGAAGCGTTATACGCCTTAGTAATTATCTTTTAGTAGATCTAGTCTAGCCCTAGGGTGGTGCCTTTAATCTTATAAGAGTAGGCATATAGTACTTCCTCATCTATAAGGGAGGGCTAGTCCTATATCTTTTCCTTATAGTTTATCTAGTCGCGTAGGGGAACGTATAGCAGCTAGGGAAAGAGCTTCTAATAGAAGGTAGTATTAGAGGCCTAAGAATAAGTCTAGACTGTTCTAGACTCTTCTAGACCTCTTCTATTACTAAGAACTTATTCCTACGGGTTCTTTCAGATTCTAGCCCTTATTCTAGATTGTCTTATTACTAAGGCCTAGAATCTTCTAGTCTAGATTAATTAGAAATCGTCTTCTATTAATAGAAGAACCTATTACTAATTACCTAGAGATAGAACTCTCTAGAATCTATAGGTTCTTCTATATAAACACCCTTAGGTAGCCTACTAGTTAGTCCTTTAAGGAAGTTCTCTTATAGTAAAGAATCTACTACATTCTCTACTATAAACCATCTACCATACGGTATATAATAAAGATATTACTTATCTTTATAGAATACCGCTAACAGGTTATGAGCCCGGCTAATAGTAATCTATAGATTACTATATAGCTTGCCTTATAATTTATAAGTAGGATTTTACTTCCTTCCCTACTTATAAGAAAGAATATACTATTCTTTCTATACTAGACCGCTCTTATAAGTAAGGCTTAGTAAGACTATCTTAGTGGATAGCTATTAAGCTAAACTTATAAAGAAGTCTAGGGAAAGCCTACTTATTTATATAAGTAAGGCATTTTTTAGGGTAAGGACTAGTATCCTAAGCCCTATCCTTAGGCTCTTAGCCTATTAAATTTTTCCTAGGACCGTCAGGCCTATATCTACCTAGGATTTTATTCTAGAACCTTCTAGTGGTCTAGAATAGCCTTATTCGCTACCTATTCTTTACCTTTCTCCGCCTTTCTCCGGATTTCCTCACATTTCTATCAACTACATTAATATAAGGTGTGACTACGCGGCCTCTATACCATATTAGGCCTAAGCGTTACCCGTTTACACTAGTTCCCGCTGGTGTCTTAGCATGAGGAACACTAAAACTTCACGACACTTTAAAACGTTTTCGACCTGTATCGACCCGAATACTTTGCTTAGTAAGTAAAGTAGTATACCGTTTTAAAGAGAAAAACTCGGCGGACAAGGATCTGAAATCAGATTCCTTATATCTCTACTCCCGGCTAAGTTATTAGAGAAAACATCAATACTCTAATAATCTCCCCACTTTCTATTAGGTGCATTAGGCCCATTAGCACCTAATAAACTTCGAGACTTCATACACTTATAGTTTCCGCTTAAAACTATAAGTATAAAGAGTTTTATACTCTAAAGACCTCTATAAGGTATAAAATCTTTAATATACCTTAAGAAAGGAACATCTTCTACTAGGAAATATGGGAAAAGAATTCCCTAGCATTCCTAAACTTAAAGGCCCTAAGAACTAG